AGCAACCTGAGACCAGGGCCCTGACATCTCTTGCCACCTGCTTGTTGGGTTGAGTCTTCAGGGCCGGAACGAGGGATCACTGTAACATAGCAAGCCCTCCTTCCCCGGTAATGGCCAGCCCTGAAACGCCCATCATACCTGCCTCTCCCAAATGTGACCGGGATGCTCTGGCCAATCCCTGTTTCCGTAGACCCCTCCTCCCCTCCCACGGCCCTCGATATCCTTGGCAGGCCATTTACCCCATGCACTCCGGGCCGAAAAGCGGGTCTGGGCCCCCACCCACTTCTGCTTCTGCACTCAGTGGAGGGGGCACCAGGCCGCACTCTCAGTCCACTCTTATATGCTAAACAGTCATTCCCAGCATGCATACCCCACTGTAGCAATAACACATAAATTACAGTAACAGAGCAAAAACGTTAAAAATTGGTTGAAAAAGTGGGATCATTCATTAGCAAGCATTCCACATACAAGAGCAGTTCGCGCGATGTTAGGAGTTGTGCAAGTAGTTCTTAGCATTTGAGATGGTTAAAATGGTTGAACTCCAGTAATGGTCCACAGGAGGCATACAGGGGGGTATCTTGTTTCCCCCTCTCCTGTAGGCCTGAGAAGCTCCAAAAAGTCTGGGACGGTTGAGGGGTGGCAGGAGGCCTTCCTAAACGCTGTGAGCATCCCCACTCATCCAGAGTCCAAGGCACTGTAATGGGTGGAATTAAACAAGTGCTGTCCAAGATGGTATTCCAGGGGCAGTCGCGGGTAGTGATGGTCAAAGTGACTGGGGCTGAGGCAGCAAGTCCAGAGGGCTTGGGATTACAGTTAAAGGAGGCTGGATGTTCAGAAGCCCAGATGGAAAAGAGCCAAATGACAAGCAGGGAGGGGGGGTAGAAGAAGGCTCCACAGCAACGATGGTAGGCTGAGGGAGAAACTCACCAAGTGAAGAAGTCCAATCGAGCAACAAACAGAAGAGAAAGGAGGCAGTGTTGATGCAAAGGCCGAGCCAAACAGAGAGGGGGGGAAGGGGCATCCGGAAGGGCCATGGCGGTGGCAAATGTAGCCAGCCGCTCAATTCGCCCAACCTCGGTGGGCGCACAGGTCATTCTCCCCCCCTCCACGGTGGTGGCAATCCAAAAAGGTCCCCAGGGGCTCAACAAGCCAGGCGGGCAAAGTTAAAAGACGTTGCAGGCGCCAAAAGTCAGTAGAAAACGCTGCCATTGCCCACACGCCACTGCCATCAAGCGGCATAGAGCGTTTCAAAACCGCTGAGAGTTGCGAGACCTGAGATCGTTTGGGAGTGATAACCTCCCCAGCAAACTGGCCTCTTCGTGTCCCCCGGATCTCAATCATCCCCGGGGACCTCTCCAAAGGATTATGTTGCCC